CAGTTGTTGTTGTGAGAAGAGGCCATGCCATCACTTACCTCTATCGCCATAACATCATACGTGTGCCCATGTTTACTGCACACCGTTTCATTGTTGCCATGTTGACCCGATGCAGACCAAGTCGGAGGCTCACTTGCCCTTAGATTCACTTTTCCAGAAGATTGGAATAACAAGAGTTTTGATCCCAGACAACGCGAAGAAGCTTACCATGCGATCGGATATGATTGGAGTTGGTCGACACGCATAAATCGCCGCACAGACGAGTCCAGATAGCGATCGTGCCCTAATCCATCCGTGAAGGCTTACACACCCAACACAGAACTTCGCCGGAAGACCTAATCCTGAGAGCTGAGAGCCAACCTATACAGAAGAACAATAACGCTACTACTGATTTAGCCTTTCGGAATGACCTTTGGGAATGTGTTTCTGTCGTCTCCGGGCTGACTCGCAGTCATACCGCATTACCGATCTGAGAGTTGGATGGTCAAGTTCCCGCTACTCTTTGGACAGGGGACACTGCTGACATCTCAAATATTTGTGAGTTTGGATGGTATGATTGGGGTTGGTACCTTTCTCCTGAGCGACAGGGCGAGTCAATGGAAATGAAGCGCCTTGGTCGCTACAGTGGCCCCAGCACTGACATTGGGGACGCCATGTGCGCCCGAATCCTCACCGAGAATGGCCAGTTGGTCTCTAGGAAATCTGTCATCCCCTTATCAGACCAGGAGAAGCTGAGCCCGTTGATTGAATCCAAGAAGGCTAGCATTCACAGAATCCTTGAAGAAGTCCCTTGGCAAGCTTTATGTTTTGCCCAGCAGTGATGATGCTGAATCTCGTCAGGATGAAGAAGATACCAGAGTATTATGAGCGCAATATCGATGATAGTGACCCAGCTCCTCTGCCACAGAAGATTTGTCAGAAGCAGATGTAGATGCAACTATAGGCCTTGCGGCCAAAGTACATTTCAATCGTGTTTGTTGATCCCACTATGGAGCACCAAGAGTGTCTTATGGCACAGTACCAAGCCGCAAGCAGGAACTCAGATGAAAACTGATTGCGTCTTTCGATATTCTAATCCAATTGCCTTGATACTTCCCTTTTTGAGGTGGAGTTGACAGGGCCTGAGACCGAGGCCACCTATCTTTTCGGCAACATCATTGCAGAGTCTATCTATGCTCAGTGGACTGATGACGGCTACATTTGTTTGAATTGGCGGATAACTGGACCATGCGAAAGACGGACACGCTGTTTCAGGGACGACGCCTACATCTATCGAATGGCAGGAAGACTTTGCGACTGACCACCAAAGGGTGGAAACTTTTGTGTCAGTGGAAGATGGGCAACACCTCATGGCAGTCCCTTAAGGAAATGAAAGATGGTTACCTGATCCAGACGGCAGAGTATGCACAGAACAATGGCTTGAGTCAGAGCCAGCTTTCTCTTGTGGGTCCCTTACACCCTCAAGAAGCGGAATCGGATTATCTCTGCTGTTTGCGAAGCGTTACTTTCGCAAGGAACAGAAATATGGGGTTGAGCTTCCCAAAACGGTGGAGCATGCCCTTGAGATTGACAAGGAGACTGGTACAACCTTTTGGCATGATGCCATTAAGAAAAGAGATGGCAGCCGTCGGCAAAGCTTTTGAAATCCTGGACGAGGATGCCCCTGACCCCGTCGGACACACTCACATTCGTTGTCACATGGTCTTTGATGTTAAAAGCGACTTTACAAGGAAGGCACGTCTGGTGCTGGGGGGCATATGACCGAATCCACCTTCGTCCATTACCTACGCCAGCGTTGTCAGTCGAGAGAGTGTACGACTGGCCTTCTTGATCGCAGCACTGAACGATCTGGACATATTGTGCCGCTGATATTGGCAACCATATTTGAATGCCCCAGTTCGAGAGAAGATCTTTATCACATGCGGTAAGGAATTTGGCCCATTTGAGGGACGCAAACAAAGGTCGTCAAGGCCCTGTATGGCCTCAAATCAAGTGGAGCAGCATGGAGGGCCCACTTAGCTGATGTTCTGCGAGACAACCTGGGGGTTCACCTCTTGTAAGGCAGACAATGATGTCTGGTTTCGTGCCGCCACCAGGCCTGATGGAAGGGAATACTATGAGTATATCTTGGTATACACAGACGATCTCCTTTGCCTGTCAACTAACCCAAATACCTTACTCTGCTACCTGGATCAGCATTTCCTGCTGAAGCCAGGATCCCTGGGAAAGCCAACTCAGTATCTTGGAGCTTCAGTCAAGGAGTACAATGTCCCTGGCGTTGACAAACCATGTTGGTCAATGGGATCTGAACAGTATGTCAAGGAGGCTGTCAGAAATGTGGAGACATGGCTCGAGCAACGTGGGAAGACGCTCAAGTCAAAAGCAACTTCAGTGTTACCGAGCAATTACACCCCGGAGTTGGATGTTTCAAACCTTTGTGATGACGAGTGGACAAATACTTTCAACAGCAGATTGGAGTGCTACGATGGGCCGTGGAACTCGGGAGAATTGACATCTGCACCGAGGTTCAATCATGGCTTCATACTGTGCAGCCCCACGAGTTGGCACCTGGACGCTGTGTTTCATATCTTGGCATATCTCAAGCAGCACAGTCGTTCTCACCTTGTTTTTGATCCTTCCTATGTGAATCATGTGGAACCAGAGCGACCTGACTGGAGTGATTTCTATGCCGATGCGAAAGAGCTTTTGCCTCCAGACATGCCGAAGCCTCTCGGCAAACCAATCCAAATCACCATGTTTGTGGATTCTGACCATGCTGGGGACAAGGTGACACGTCGTTCGCGTACTGGTGTACTCGTCTTTGCTAACATGTCTCCAATTATTTGGTATAGCAAGAAGCAGGGCTCCATTGAAACTTCCTCCTTTGGATCTGAGTTCGCGGCGATGAAGGTTGGCATCGAGATTGTGGAGGGCTGCGGTACAAGCTCAGGATGATGGGAGTCCCACTCGATGGCCCAGCCCATGTCAAGGCGGACAACATGTCCGTGATCAAGAACTCGAGCATCCCGGAGTCTACTTTGAAGAAAAAGAGCAACTCGGTCGCATACCACTATGTCGTGAAAGAGTCGCTGCAGGCATGGCAAACATCACATATGAGAATACAGAGAGCAATTTGGCCGATATGTTGACGAAGATCCAGAACGGGCCTGTGAGACAGCGACTGGTTTCGAAAGTCCTATACTAACAATCTGCAAAAAGGCAACATGACCATAGGGTGGGCCGTTTGGTGAACGGCAGGTCTGAGCCTCCAAGGGACCATGCCCCAAGGGTACATCCTGTTTCAGACTTCCGAAGTCTGTTTTCCCATGTCAAGTGCAATCTAGCGTGAGATAGATCCCCCTCTAGCTTGAGGGGACCGAAAATGACCTGTGGTAGCGATTTATGACTATCCAGTTACCAGATTACTAAAATCAACCACAACCACAACAACCAAGTAGTAAACACACACGCAACTCTATAGCAACCTCTTTATCACCACCATCAGCCTTTTTCGAAAATGAGCTTAACGTATCTATTTAGTATTTGTTATTATCTGCTGAAGCAGATGAGAACCATGAACGTCATGAAGACAACCACCACCACTACAACGAAGACACTGTTTCGATGCTTGTTGTTAGCATCTATCTTGGGAGTGACCAATGGCTGGAGTACATTCGGCAGTAAGGCTCGTTCCGAAACCGAACTTGCCTTTTTACAAGGAGCCAGCCCCGAGGAAGCCGCAGTTGCGAGACACGAACCGGTCATTGTGCACACGGATACGGACGAAGCGGAGCGTTTCTGGGCCGATGCACATGTCGAGTGGACCATGATGAATACCGTCAAGAATGACCATCCATTTGTCGGTCCACCCTTTGACCTCGAAGGACGGCGTACCACAACACCACACGCCGCATCCGCAAGAATGAGAACACCTCGGGAATCCCATTTCTTGTTCACGGCCATGGACTCTTCCAAGAAACTGATTGTCCAAAAGAAAGACGAAGACGAGTGTATGGGTCGTTGGAGCGCGTGGGACTAGTTAGTTAGTTGGCTATCTACAATCTGGCTAACTTCCAACCCAGGCAGCTATGCTTATCCATCAACCGATCTTTCAAGCAACGGAAAGGCACAAGCTATATAGTTGAGAACTGCATTACAATACGAAATCTACACTACATTATTTCTAGCAGCACGAAAGGACTGGAACCTTCGAAACACAATGAATGGAATGAAGGAATGCACGGATACACACAAGAAAGCCTCCTGTCCTGGATGGCAGCCAGCAAGATGGTCACAACAAAACAGGACCGCCGACTCAAAGGTGGACTCTATAGGATTCGATTCCATTCGATTGAACCATTCGCTATAATACATATTTTATGCATAAGACCTCACCAAATAGCTCTTCATTTGGAATTAGCTAGCTAGCTAGCTAGTTTGGCTTTAGCAATATTCGACTGTAAGGTCCCAAGACTGTTGTCCGCCGTCTTGGAGACTCCATTGACAAGATCGCTCACTGCCGAGAAGGTTTGCTTGCGAGAAAGGACTTCTTATGATTGACGAGCATGCAGGATCTTTGCGGCTTGCTTTGATGCCATGTCCACCGGTGACTTGGACCAAGCTGGTGCTGCTTTTGCTTTCGAAAGAAAGCACTCCGTGTGTGCACTGTGGGTGAATTGGCGGGGCTGTATCACATGTACCGTATCATGATACATGCAGTTGGAAAGGAGCTCGCCACCTTGACCCACCGCTGGTGTCGTACGGTAAACCGATTTATCTCAAGGTTTCCAAGCCCTGGGATAACTGTGGTGCCCTCCATCTCTTCCGCTAGTCTTGCTCCTTTGCTCCTTCCTGCACTCCTGCTGCCTTCGCCCCTTTCCTTGGCTTCCATGTTGCCCTGCTTGCGCACTTGATTGCTTGCCTTGCGTTCCTGCATCGTGCCTCGCGCTCTGTCCCCATCCTCATCTTAGCTCTCTCTAATCCATAGTAAACCCCTCATTGAAAATTTATCTTAAGTGTGAGTGAGGAGTGTACCAGTACTCCATTTTTCAGTATTCGCTCGTCACCTCCAACAACCTCACTCTGATCACCACTTCATCACCATGACACGGCGGTTAACACAATACTTTGTTATAGAGTAGAGGTGCCCAGCATCACTCTCTGTTAGTGTAAGAATCGAAAAAGAGGCGACAGTCAACAGTGTTGTCTCTGAGTGGTCACCTATGAGAAACCGCCTCATCATGGTCGTCGTTTCGATTAATCTGTTGCGTCTACCGGTAACCACTCATGCTGCTGTGAGAAATACTCGTCGTACCCGTCGAGACTGTCTCCCTCTTGCGGTCTGAGTAAAACACCACTGCTCCGCTCGAACGACAGATCTTCTGGACTGGACCTACCGGCTCTACCTGCACCGTCGTTTGCTGAGCATGCCTTCTACCAACTGTCGCCATCTACCACCGCCGCGCCTCCCCATGCAGTTCCCGTAAGTTTCCCCTTGTTGCCGTATTTTTGCGTCGTCTACTGCTGTTTGATCTGGAACTGTGCGTCGGAGAGAGGCAATAATGCCTTTATTCTGTCAGCAGTGATGGTGCTCCCTTCCTAGGTCAATTGTTTGGCCTCCAGTTCTTTCAACCGAGGACTGTATTCATTTTCTTCTGCTTGTCGGAGAGGCCTTCAAGTGTGTCACCACGAGCAGTCAAATCTGCTGTAAGAGGAGCAATATTCTCCTTGCCAGTTATCTTTCCAAACACAAGATTGCCGCTGTTTGGATCTGGTTGGCTTCCCGGTTCTTGGGCATGGTCTTCAATGCATCATCTTGAACTCCCTCTACACGGAAGTGTTCTTTCTTTAAAGCCTTGTTGATCTCCTTGATTGTGTCAATGCAGGTAGGCACAGTCCAGCAAGCCCGCTGTTTGTTCCTTGTTCTTCATGTCAGCAAGCTTACCAAAGCTGTGGCCGTCGGCGCTCCTGTTGATTGCATAAGCAGTACGTATTGGCTCACTTCGATCCGCCTTGGATACAATGTCGGCTTCCTTGACACCGGCTTCCACGAATTGAGTCGAGTCTGAGAGGCAACGGCAAGATACTTGGCTTTCAGCTCCTCTTTCAGTACATCAGGAGTGTAATAATCTCGGAAGTCAATCAACCAATCCCAAAGCTCGTCAGCAATATCTGCAACACTGTCTTGGATGAAAGAATAAAGCATCTTCAAATCAATCAAACGTTGCTTCGTGCTTCGTGCACTTCACTGTGGTAGACAGCTGGTTGGAACACTGGATCGTATTCTTCTTGAGGATGACAGCAGCAACCACACGACCAATCAGATCCTCAGCCATCAATGCCAACGGTAGCATATCCGGTTGTAGCCATCGACTGACATGTTCAATCATTCGATTCTGTTACCATCAGAATGAAAGTGCTAGTCTACTAGCTTTGTTCTCTGATCACATCAGCTGTCGTTGGCTGCTACCGTACCGGTAGCTATTAATAGTGTAGTTCTGTCGGACCTTCCAAAAGTGCACACGACTGCAGCTATAGTCACCACAAAGTAAGTAGAACTACTTGCACAAGAATACAAGATCGGCTATGGTACTGATAGTTACTACCGGTACAGTAGTTTAAGAATCATGACTGAGAAAGTAGGATCCATCTTCTCCAAAGTCAATAAAGTGTAGAAAATTTCCCGCTTGCAATATTTCCTGTGTAACGGCATCGAGATCTTCACTGATTCCACCCCACCACATGCGTCCATTTTCGGCTCGGACAAACCATTCTCCGTGCGGGCCTAGATTGACACAGACCAAATCGGCCTTGTCGCGTCGTTCTCCCAGTTTATCGGCTAGTGCGGATGGAATGGATCGTCCGTGAAATTTCCACGATCCATCGGCAAAAACGACAAAAAAGGTATCGTAGGAATTGCCAAACGCGACCGATCGGGGTGCTTGACGACAGCCTTTCAATACTTTATCGAGTGCTTTGGGACCTTTCCAATCAAACGTGTCGTCTTTGAACGCCACAAAATAGCGATCGCGGGTTCCCAACGAGACATAGGAAGGACGTGCCGAAATGGGTGAATTGCGGAGTAATTTGAGTTTTTGATACAAATGTTTGGGAATGTTGGGTGTGTAGGCAACGCCGCCATTGCCATACAAGAATATAGTGCCTTTTCCATTGGTAGCGACACCACGCACTAGCTTATTCATGCGACTAATATCTTGTAGACACTGTTCGACATGTTTCATGGCCGAGACGGGAAGTGAGAATTGGAATTCCATTCCTTCTTCTTCACTGGCATCATCGTCGTCGTCTTCTTCTTCTTCCTCGTCATCTTGTGTGGTGGAATCGTCTTCTCGACTGCCATGATTGTTGTTACTGGAAGAAGCAGCTACGGATGTTCGTGGCTTTTGCTGCTGTTGTTGTTGTTGCTGCTGCTGTAATTTCTTGTGTTGTTCTTCTCGTTCTTCCAACGCCACCAAATGGCTTTCCAATTTTTCTTTCTCGCCATGTAAAATACAGAGTCCCACTTCGGCCAATTCAATATCATCTTTGAGAGACGTGGTCTTGGTCGGTGAAGGTGCATTCGTATTAGTGCTTGTGTTGTCGTGAACACCAACCAATGTTTCGTCAATTTCGGTGGGGGCTGGTGGATGGCGTAAGAGGCGTTCAATGACATCCAACGACGTGACATTGCGGCGAAAGGATTCTCGTGGCACGCCTTGAAAGACCCGACACGTCGAGACAGTGCCAGTATCGACAAAGATGTTGACCCGGGCCAATCCTTCCGTACTACTCGCATTATTGTGGAGACCCACTAGAAAGGAGACAATGTGTTCGGCGTGGGATGGTAGTGCTTGGACACCCGCTAGAGACTTGGCGCGGCGTCGAATCGCTGTCGGATCCAAGTTCCATTCTTGATGATGATGACTACTGTGATGATGGTGACTTTGATGGCCAGCCGCACTGGCAGTGATGGTCGGCATCGTCTAAGAGACAACAGTAGAAGATGGTGCTGCACCGACTTCGATTTGAATGATCGATTGATGATGTGCAACCGAAGGCTGAAACGATAAGCCAGTGAATTGGTTTAATTATTCCTGCAAGGTGCAAATAATGAGATGCTGTCACGAAAAGATTTAAGAACTATCTGGCCTCAACGGCTCTCTGATGTTTCTGACGTCTGGGCTTCCGAACGATCGGATTTTATTTGTTGTTTCGTGCTTCTATTTTTCGATACTTTACTCTGATCAAGATGATGTGACCTCTCCTCTTTGCAGCGACTACCATACTTCTTTTGAAGAAGGCTCCACCATGACAGGCTCCTCTTGTTTGGATTGACTGGCTGGAATCAGCGGCAGCCGTAGCGAGATGCTTCCGTTCAAGGACTTCTTTCTTCTTTTGTGCGACGCATCTTCCACACTGCGACACCTCCTTTCTCTCTAAAAGAGCGGCATGACATGACACAAAGCCTCTGCTATCATATGATGCCAATGGAGACATCTACATGCACCATGGGAGAGTGCTTGGAAGTAGCCTCCGACATCCACCACCAGTCGATCGTACCTTTTGCCGACGGCTGTTTTCCGTTTGAAACGAAAACGGAAATTCCATGACGCGCTCCTTTTTCCATTTTGATGTTGACACCTTGCCGATTTTGATGTTGACATGAAATGAAACCGCCGTTTGGCTGAATTGCATGAAACGACGGTTGCCTCTCTCTCAAAACACAATCACAACTTCTTCCAACATGCATGACGATGACACCTTTCCCGGTGCTGCTTTTGCGGCTGTCCCTTCGGGGGCCCGTGGTTCCTTCGGGTGCATTTTATGAGTCCTTGTCCTGCCCGTCGACCCGCTGGGAAAGGTGTCATCTTGCGGTGGTTCCAGCTAGAGATGGATCGTCCTCGTACAAGGTAACGGTCGGTTCCACTGTCATTGTGGCGTTGCTTGTTTGGTTGGTTCACGGTCTTCGACCGATCGTTGCAGCCTCATCCTCTTTAGTTCCCAACGTAGCTCGCCTCCATGGTTTGTCCTCGATCGTTGACAACGAAATGTGAGCGTCAAGGAGCCAACCAACAAACTGACGACCGACCAACCCAGAGCACAAACCCAACCCAAACCAACCAACAACAAACAGGTACGATCCGCTAGCGAACGGCATGCATGCATGCCATTAGTAGTTCTTTGCTCCTTGCGAGTCAACATAAACGGCGTTGGAAGTGGAGGGGGTGGAAACTTTACAAAGCCTATCCTTCTTCACTTCGCTGAACCAAAGTGGCATGCATGCATGCGCCTTGCTTTTGCTTTTGTTCTCAGCTCAAGTCTAACCTCTTTCTTGTTCCATTCTGCCTTTTCTTCTTAGAGACAAACAACGACAAGTCGAGATCAGCCGTCTTCGTCTTCTTAGACAACGTCCCAGTCTCTTCTTCCTGTTGGTTCTCTGGGTTGGTCGGTCGGCAATCAAATCGGAAAGTCTCTTGGGAGGTTTCAATTTCGACATGATTATCCAAGTGTTCTACAACCTTGTTCCTTGGTGGTTCCTGTGGTGGTTCCTGCTGCTGCGTGCTGATGTTGGTGGTCCCTGTGGTGGTCTGCTGCTGCTGATGTTGGTGGTCCCTGTGGTGGTTCCTGTGGTTTGTTTGGTTGGTTGCCTAGTGCTCCATTGCCTAGTGCTTGGGATTGGCTGGGAGCAGGGATGTGGTAGTGATTGTTGCAGGCTGCTCCGAGTGCTTCTTTAAAGGCACTGACATGAAGAAGTAATTCTCGCTCGGATTGGATTTGTACTGGAGAAGCATTCGGAGCAGCCAAAGTTTCACTGCTACCTGTCTCTTGGTCTCTTGGTGGTTCCTTCCCGTGGTTCCTTCCTGTGATGTCATGCCAGAACCTTAGACCACAGTCTCAACCTCATTTTTATATCTGAGCAGTGCTGGTTGTTTGACGGTCCATCCTTGGTCTCCCTGGTTTGGCTACTCCTTTTGTCAATCTCCTTGACTCCTTTGGCATTCTCCCTGGCTAACAATGCGTCTGCTTCGAGGTACTGCATGCAATAGCACCAGTCGGGCAGCTGATCGAGTCAAACAGCAACCTGCAACCATATGAAAGCTGGGCGATCTTCAAGGAGAGCCCAGCGGAAATTTGGCCAGGCAGCAGTGTCGGTTTGGTCGGTTGGTTGAAGACGAAGACCCACTCCAGCATGCAATAGCACCAGTCGGGCAGCTGATCGAGTCAAACAGCAACCTGCAACCATATGAAAGCTGGGCGATCTTCAAGGAGAGCCCAGCGAAATTTGGCCAGGCAGCAGTGTCGGTTTGGTCGTTTGGTTGAAGACGAAGACGAAGACCCACTCCAGCATGCAATAGCACCAGTCGGTCAGCTGATCGAGTCAAACAGCAACCTGCAACCATATGAAAGCTGGGCGATCTTCAAGGAGAGCCCAGCGGAAATTTGGCCAGGCAGCAGTGTCGGTTTGGTCGTTTGGTTGAAGACGAAGACGAAGACCACTCCAGCATGCAATAGCACCAGTCGGGCAGCTGATCGAGTCAAACAGCAACCTGCAACCTATGAAAGCTGGGCGATCTTCAAGGAGAGCCCAGCGGAAATTTGGCAGGCAGCAGTGTCGGTTTGGTCGTTTGGTTGAAGACGAAGACGAAGACCCACTCCAGCATGCAATAGCACCAGTCGGGCAGCTGATCGAGTCAAACAGGTACGGTACACCTGCGTTTTTCACATGCAAAAGCGTGTCACCTTTGTTCTTTACTCTTGCGAGTCAGCATTCGTGTTGGAAGCTTCCAGGGGCACTCGAGAGTGTGTCCTGATTGTCTTCGCTGAACAAAAGTGGCATGCATGCATGCAGCCTTTTGCACTTTTGCTCTTGATTCAAGTCTAACCTTCTGTCCTCCATTCTGCGTTTCTCTTAGACAAACAAGACCCCGTCGATCCGTCCTTTCTGAAACAGAAATTGGAACCCAAAAACTACACGGCCTTGCGAGTACGTGTTGCGGGTCTCTTCCTTTTTTACAATCCATCGACGAGAATGATGATGTGTTCAGTGAAGATGGGAAACCTGCAACCATATGAAAGCTGGGCGATCTTCAAGGAGAGCCCAGCGGACGTTTGGCCAGGCAGCAGTGTCGGTTTGGTCGTTTGTTGAAGACGAAGACGAAGACCCACTCCAGCATGCAATAGCACCAGTCGGTCAGCTGATCGAGTCAAACAGCAACCTGCAACCATATGAAAGCTGGGCGATCTTCAAGGAGAGCCCAGCGGGAAATTTGGCCAGGCAGCAGTGTCGGTTTGGTCGTTTGGTTGAAGACGAAGACCCACTCCAGCATGCAATAGCACCAGTCGGGCAGCTGATCGAGTCAAACAGGTACGGTACACCTGCGTTTTTCACATGCAAAAGCGTGTCACCTTTGTTCTTTACTCTTGCGAGTCAGCATTCGTGTTGGAAGCTTCCAGGGGCACTCGAGAGTGTGTTCCTGATTGTCTTCGCTGAACAAAAGTGGCATGCATGCATGCAGCCTTTTGCACTTTTGCTCTTGATTCAAGTCTAACCTTCTGTCCTCCATTCTGCGTTTCTCTTAGACAAACAAGACCCGTCGATCCGTCCTTTCTGAAACAGAAATTGGAACCCAAAAACTCACGGCCTTGCGAGTACGTGTTGCGGGTCTCTCCTTTTTTACAATCCATCGACGAGAATGATGATGTGTTCAGTGAAGATGGGAAACCTGCAACCATATGAAAGCTGGGCGATCTTCAAGGAGAGCCCAGCGGAAATTTGGCCAGGCAGTAGCAAAAGGCAGTGCTTCCTTCAATCCCCCTGTGCTGCTACCTGTGTCTTGGTCTCTTGGTGGTGACTTCTTGGATTGCTTGGGATTGGCTGGGAGCAGGGATGTGGTAGTGATTGTTGCAGGCTGCTCCGAGTGCTTCTTTAAAGGCGCTGACATGAAGAAGTAATTCTCGCTCGGATTGGATTTGTACTGGAGAAGCATTCGGAGCAGCCAAAGTTTCACCGCTACCTGTCTCTTGGTCTCTTGATGGTTCCTTCCTGTGATGTCTTTTGCAGCCAGCGTTAGTCTAGCTAGCCCTCGCTTGCCATCTGTGTGTCCGGCATGCCACCTTCAGAGTTTGTCCACCCCTTTCTTGCAGATGTCTACGAACAAGGGGAGATGCCGGCACAGTGCTTCCATCTTGTTGGTTCTCTGGGTTGGTGCCAGTCGTTTGGCTCTTTGCTGTTGGTTGGTTGATCGGTTTGGCTGCTTCCTTTTCTCCGTACCTGTAACCCTTGGATTTGGCTGGCTGGTTGTGGCGTTGAGTCAAGTCAAGTCCCCTCCTCTTAGCTAGTAGCTTAATCTCACACATCTTGTCTCTTTGCCCCGCCGAAGCCCAACAACTTCTTGGTGGGCGGTTGCGGCACCAAAGTCCACCCCCCTGTGCTGCTACCTGTCTCTTGGTCTCTTGGTGGTGACTTCTTGGGTTGCTTGGGATTGGCTGGGAGCAGGGATGTGGTAGTGATTGTTGCATGCTGCTCCGAGTGCTTCTTTAAAGGCACTGACATGAAGAAGTAATTCTCGCTCGGATTGGATTTGTACTGGAGAAGCATTCGGAGCAGCCAAAGTTTCACTGCTACCTGTCTCTTGGTCTCTTGGTGGTTCCTTCCCGTGGTTCCTTCCTGTGATGTCATGCCAGAACCTTAGACCACAGTCTCAACCTCATTTTTTATATCTGAGCAGTGCTGGTTGTTTGACGGTCCATCCTTGGTCTCCCTGGTTTGGCTACTCCTTTTGTCAATCTCCCTGGCTCCTTTGGCATTCTCTCTGGCTGACAATGCGTCTGCTTCGAGGTACTGCTGATGCATCGACCACTCTTCACCCTAGTGGCAGCTCTACGATTCTTGGAGCTGACGACACTCTTGACTATGCGTCTGCTTCGAGGTTCTGCCAACGACACTGTGGATCTACCGGCCGCTAGCGGGAACTCTATT